GAAAATATTCCACGTCAATTTGCTAGACAATCACCAATCCTTATATTACAGCCACGTCTTCGAGGAATATTGTATTGCAATGAGGTAAATAGAGATTACTAAATAAAAGGTACGGTCACATAAGGCAAATATGGGTAAAGTTAGCTTCTTCAATGAGTTACAACCATGCAAGGCGTCAGGAATTATTGTAATGTCAGGTTGTCAGGAGGTCTGGTATGTCAGGCTGTCAGGAGTATTAGATTTGTTTGTTTGTCATTTTATGATATATCATTTTGTTGTTTTCTTGAGTCACACTATGATAGTTTCTCAACTTGATTTGTGATTCGATTGCATTATGGTTGTTTTGGGGCTGAAACCCAGGGACAGAAATTTGCTCTGTTGGTGAATGTGATAAAAAGGAAAATGCCATTAAGGAGGAAATGTAGATTTGAACGGGATTTGCGTTTAGTTAGGACATCTTTCGCTTTGTGTTCGGTTTGCTAAATTTTATTGTGGGTCCCGTTCAGTTTAAAATGAAATATTCAGCAGATGCTGCCGTCAGAGTTGATATATAAAGGAAGTTAACTCTGCTTTGGTCAGAGATTGTTGAAGGCCAGTGTAAATATCCAAGCTTCGATTTGGTCATAGTTTGAAAGATGTTTTGTATATTCAGTTAAATAGAATTTAGCTTTGAGGTATCTGGTTGAGGTGAAGCTTGAGTAAGATGCGATATGTCTACTTTGGTCAAGGCTGAAGCGAGAATGTTGGAATTAAGAAAGGAGATAAAACACGTCAGGTGAACAACCCATTGAACTCTTGAAATGTTCAACTATAGTGAGGACTGTTCATTATTTCACTTGGTGTTCGTGCGCAGTACATACAAATTTAAATGGTAATCACGTTTCACCTTTCAATACATCTGAATGGCGATTCATTAAGAACAAACGATTTAACACGAATATCTTAATATATGGAAGAACGCAGTTTTATTATCTTTTGGTTATCATCTTTTTCCTAATCTTATCTCAGCTGCTACCTGTGTCTGTTGCCTGGTGTTCTTTACCAAGACCATGCTCATGAAGTCCAGCCAATGGCGTCGAAGTCAGAATGTTGATTAATCCCAGACTCGCTTACAATCCCCTTCAACTATATCGAAATTTTCCAACACATAACCAGGTTGCCTGTAGAGTATTTCACTGCGACGTTTGTTAACGCTCTTCGTACAGTTTTCCGTTCCATTACTTCCACAATACCTACCCACCACTAACGCGCACACAACAACAGAAGAAAGAACGCCTGCTATCATCTTGGAGGTTGGTACACCACTGGTCATAACGCTCATTGTTCCTCAACAACGCGCTGCTGAGCATATCTTATCAAGAATCAAAGCGTTGGCGATCATGATGGTATAGATTATCTTTTATTTTCATCTAGTTTTGGTAGATTTCTAAATATGTAATTTATCTATATTACTCATGCGCGAGGAATGGTTTTAGGAGAGGAACTGCATAATTCAATTATGTTCCCTTTTATTTGATTGTAGTCCATAATGCTCTGTTTAATAATCATTGGGGGGGGGGGCGCTTTCACGCAACACTCCTACACGCACACCTGCAACCCCCATACACACAAACGCACACACTGACACGCATGTGCACATTCGCATATATTGTCTACACACACGAATGCACACACCCACGCCCGCATAAAAACGAAGGCGTTTATCAACGCACATGAAAACCGACAAACAAGTTATTGCATGTAACGGAGAAAGCGCAAGTTACAAAAAATAGCATTTAAAAAGGCAACCCACGAGTTTTGATATTTTGCTCGTATTATGTTTATTTAGAGAAACATGATTAATTTCTGTTTAATGCGATTGCAAAGAACGTATCACGGCCGTAACTAGTTTCGTACAGGTATAATAAGTGTTGCCAATTCAGCGGAGTCTCTGCTATTTTTAGCGAAAGTTGTTGTCATTTAGCCTCCTATTTTCATGGTATCATTACCGTTGGGGTATTAACGCCGACGGGGTGCTTAGCCGTAGCCACCCTTTGTTTCCACCTTCGAGGGTCCCTCATGGCGAGCCACCAGGTGTGTACTCTCAAGCTCTTCACAGTAGGTTTGATAGATCTGCCCAACTCACGACTTAACAGGTCGTCCCACAGCCCACCTCCACTCAGTCTCGAACAGAGACAACCTGGTTATTTTCTTGTTAATTAAAAACGCATTTAGTTGACATCTAGAAGGCTGGCATAATCTACTTTTTAAATCACATTAGTCAGTCGTAACATTTATTTTATGAGTTAACGCCCCCTCCCCTTCCCTGAAAAGAAATAATAAAATTGTGAGTGCTTATATATATATAAGATAGCATCGAAGCTGATTGAAAGGGAGTAATGCGACCGCACTGAAACGCACACCAAGTGCATATTTTGTTATCGTAACGTCAAAGTTGATATGAACATATGGACATTCGACAGGAGAGTCTACATATTTTAGTGAAGGATTAAGAAAAAGA